CACATCGATTACAGAGAAGAATTGGATCTTGACAGTTGCTTACCCAGGTACCTACTCACAGCTTTTCTCAATAATAACTATAGTTACAAAAAAATGGCATTGGTAATAAAATGGCTTTATGTCCACTCAGTCTTGCCGAGGAGGAGAGAGACGACATGCTGGAGTCCCGTTCTTCACCGCCACCGTCACCCTTCTTCTCCGCGATCCTTGCAGCTTTCCAACCAGCAGTATGCGATGATGCGGAGGAGGCTTGGCGAAGTCATATCAACCAGCTTGTGTCTGACACAGATGGATCTTGTGCAGTCTATACTTTTCATGTATTTTCTTCACTATTTCAGGTATTACAGCATGGTCTTGTAGCTAGCATAGACCTAAATTCCATTAACAGTGTGCCTGGTCAAAGAGAATAATTAAACTGAAAGGATTACAGGATTAGTTGTCTGGCTGATTAACGTTTAGAGACAGAGGCTTCCTTTCAGCAGAGGTCTGATTAATTACAAATGGAGGGCACTTGGTAGATGCTTTCAGCTTGAAAACATTCATTAATCAGATGTTGTTCACTTCACTGACCACAGCTGACGGGAGAATTTCAGGAAAAACATAATAATGACAGAATGTAAGTACCATGATGTTATATCGACTCTGAGAGTATCACAACCAGCCCGTTGTTTTTGCTTTGCAGAGTATCCAGACCAAATTTTGTTCGTTGACCTGTGACGTTGTGAGTTATCTCGATGATAGCCTGAGAGGATTAGGATCAAAACTCTTGAGGTCCTCTCAGATGCTGACATCATGCTCAGAATGCCCAACACTCTTTATTGATGCAGACACAGTGAGTAACCTTTTCCAATTTCTACTTTTAACAGTACGACATGTTAGTGATAGTTGAACAGATTCAACAACAAAACTCTTACTTTCACAGATTATGACTTATGGACTTCTGGAAAAAATGAAATTCAGTGTGTTGGAACTTCACGAGTATCTTGATACTTACAACAACAGAAAGGATGCTGCTCTCACTGTAAGGAGATTTAATATAGTGCTTTTCAGTCTGAATGGCTATATGTTGTCACTGAGTTGTTTACATTGTTATGTTATCTCTGTCACCCACAGTGGTTGAGCAACTGTAAGGCCACCTTTCCCAAGAGTGCTGGGGGTACCGTGATAACGTGTCAACCGGCAGAGCATGAGGAAAAGGTAAAACCTTATTCTTCAAGAATTCAAGCAATAACTAACATGCTATTATATCAATTAAACAATAATGTAAAATACAGGTTTGGTATTTTTTGTGGTTTAGCTAATGCATTCAGCCAGTATGCAAACATACAAAAGGTTGTATAATTTTAAAGAAAATCATTGTTTATTATGTAAGAATGGAATACTAAAGATTCCACTTCAACTGACCTTTTACTGTACTTTCTGCATTACGAATACTGTGTGATACTGTAGCTCTGTGAGTGTTACCTCTCATTTTCTTCCACTATGTAAATGTCAAGTTTCTGACAACCTTGAGTTGCCGCACGTCACGATGATTATCTCATTCCAGTGTGCATTGTGATTATTTTCAGCTCTGCTGGGCATGGGAGCAAGTTCTCTTAAGTTGCATTTGATCTAGCAGTAAACAATTCCGCTCACTCCATTAATTGAGGAAAGGAAACAGCTAAATGGAAAGTTTTGCTGTTAAAACTTGGTAGTTAATAGCTAAGAGATTCCCACCAAAGTGAGTGCAGTTGTGCTAATTAATAGGCAAAATTGTTGCTTGGCTTGTTTCAATTGGCTTTTTAATTAAAGGTACCCTGTGGAGTTTTCTTGTAAACAAACAAAAGTTATGTTTACATTCAGTGTTACTCAGTCTACTATTTTAAATCCAGTATTGTATACATTCATGTTTAAGAGCATGCAGTCTTCTTTTTCCCTTTCTCAGTTAGCTAATTGCTGCATATCTTGGCGTGTTACTGGAATAATGTGACACCATTGGTAGGGCTATGTAATGTGTCACCTGCATGCTCGCGTATATGTGCACGGGATAACGGGAACCCGCTTGTACAAAAGCACCTCAGTAGCGGTTCTAGAGGTAAAAAAAACTCCACAGGGAACCTTTAATTCATGCTGACTACCAGCTGTCCTTTCTGTTCTAAATTACACATACATCGACCTTCACTTTTCCTCCTCTCTGCATGCCAATAAAATTATCTCTGCTAATACTTTTCACCCACATTTAAATGGAAATAATCAGGAACTGCATGCCCTTCTTTTGATTCTCTGTTTTCCTTACTTCTTTTCTGTCCTGTAACATGCTTGCTTTGTAGCAAATGGAATTTCTGGCTGTAAGTTGTTGTTTTTAAATGGTCTTTTTTGTTAAAGTTTGCCTTACTGTAATCCCATTTTCAGCACTTGTAATGTTGTATGTATAACTGCTGCAGGTTTGACATGTATTTACAAGTAGTTCCACAGTAGTTATATGTGAGTTATTATCCACCAAATGCAGAACTCTGAAAATACCATATAAAGTATAAAGTAAGCCCAAAGAAAACTCATTTTGCTAACAACCAATTTGCTCTTATTTTCAGCAACTGGAGCTCTGTCAAAGACTCTACAAACTCCACTTTCAGCTGTTGCTGCTTTTTCAGTCCTACTGTAAGCTGATTGAACAAGTCCATGCAATAAGCTCTATTCCCGAGGTAGGTACATCGTGCATTTGCTTGTCCTCTCTTTTTTTGGAACCATGACACCCACCCTCTAATCCACGTCCCTGTTTAATAATATGAATCTCTCTCAACCTTTAGCTGACAAATATGTCCAGGGAGCTAAATGAGTTGAAGAGTAACCTGAGGGTAGCAGCAGCCTCTGTGACAAGTGAGGAGATTGCTGCCTGTGAGAGTTCCTGCTTTGAGCCCACCTTCAGCTCCTCTGAGGCTGCTGTGCAGGCCATCCTTGAGTGTCTGAAGAACAACGAGTTTCTGACGGCCATCCGCCATATTCGTGAGTGCAGGTGAGAAAAGAAAAGGGCTGTTTTTTCTGTACATGTATAGCTGTCAAAAAATGCACCCAGTCAGATGCATAACATTTTTTCTTCTTTTTTTTTGCAGAGCAATGTGGCCTAACGACATCTTTGGCAGCCACTCTGAGGATGAGGTCCAGACCTTACTCAACATCTTCTTCAGACATCAAACTTTAGGTCAGACAGGAACTTTTGCTTTGGTGGGCTCAAAAAAGGACCTGACAGAAATCTCTGTTAAGTTGATGGAACTTAACCGAGAGATTCGGGACACGATCCGGCGAGCCCAAGGCTACCGAGCCATCACAGCTTTCCTCCCAGACTCTAGGGTTTTAGGCTCAACTCTTTGATGGCGGTCTAGCAGCATGTGACACCCACTTCTGCTCAGCCCCCTGTCCCACGCCTAGCCTCTGGTCCTGTCTGGGGTTGCTGCTATCGTCACTGTGGTTAACAAACCCTCTGCTCTCTCCTGGGAATAACCAAACCCTCTTTCCTCTTCTCCTCTTCTTGCTCAGAGCACATCAGAATGTCATGAAGTCAGATCTTCAGATGTGCAGCAATACTGGCGTTTTTTTTTAGAAAGATGAGAGACTATGCTGTTTCAAAGAAACTTAGGCTTTTATTGCACTAATAATAGAAATTGTCACAAAGCGACCACTTGCTACTGAGGTCAAAAACTTTCACATTTAACAAATGACATACCAAAGCTATAAGTGATTCTCTTTCAGTTATGTTGTTTTAAATGTCAAGGGAAAATGTGCAATCCTTTACGGTGTGGAAGACTTTTACTGTATCCTGAAAGAATGTATTTGAGTATCATAGCATTTGAAAATATGAACACTGTTAGTACAGAAAAAGGGAGGCTTTATTACTTGGTTAAAGTCGTGCATCTTTGTGTGTGTGTGTGTGTGTGTGTGTGTGTGTGTGTGTGTGTGTGTGTGTGTGGGGGGGTTGTTCGAGTGTGTGATATAAACCTGACGACCATCAAAGATGGAAATATGGATACTGAATTATACAAATTGTTCACACTTAACTACTTTGACATGCTGCAAAACTACTGCAATGTCTCCCAAACCTACACTAGATGCTGCTGTGTGGGTTATCTGTTACTTAAAACATATTACTGTAATTTTAATTGTATAGCTTTTAGCAATTAGGTAAGTTATTTATATTATTTGCTAGAGAAAGATTTATCAGACTAGATTTATAGAAAACAGATATTTTGTTTCATCTGTTAAACCTGCCAAGCTTACAAACTCTATGTACTACAAAGTGTAATAGTAATGTTTATGAACAAAGACAGAAACTATTTTAACTGAATAAATGTACATAGTGCAGTGGGGCTTTGCTTAGACTCATAAGATTGTATTTTTATGAACTTACAATTTGAGTTGCATTTAGAGTGAAAGAGAAAGCTACATTTGTAAATCTTCCACAAGAACTGTTGTTGTAGCCTTGTAAATACTACTGCCTTTGCAATGTACTGTACTTTGGTGTTCTGTACACTTATGTAACAAGAAAAATAAAACTTACATTTGTTAACTGTGGTTTCATTTTGTGATTTGTGTAATATTGTGATTATGATTTTTTAAATTATTATTATTGTATTTATGCCCGGGGTGAAGCCTCTCAGACAGAACTTAATAAAGGTCATGCACCACCCAAAAAACTCATGCAGCAATAAGAACACCGTGGATAACATTAAGGCTCCAGCTCTGCCATTCCTCATGAAGGATGGCCAGGAAGGTCTGGCTAAAAGGCTACATTGAGGGAATGTATGTACCTAAAAGTTAACATATTGTTTTTTCGTGACCGTTTTGAGCATAATATCCTCCTATTACTAGAGAGCATAATATTCATGTAAGTCCCCAATCTTGTAAACAACTGTAGCATGTAGTGGTGAACTTTTTATATACAGTCTATGGGTGAACTGCAGTGTCCATTGTTTATTTCAAACTAGACTCTTATTTTGAAGTCAGGCTGAGTTCCGGTGAGCGGCGCGCGAGCTTTGTTTTCGCAGCAGGGGCAAACTAGCTATTAGGTTGACTCGAAGTAACATTTCTCTGTCATGATTTTATGCCGTAGTGTTTTGTAAACATTTTGCCAAGACTTATATCGTGACATGAAAGTCAGCACGCTCGTACGCCGTCATGGTAAGTTAGAGTAAAAGCCAAATCCACTTTTGCTGTCTAGTTTCTTTTTGTCGATGTGTAAGTTAACTTAGCGGTCAGTGTAAGATAACCTGAATTTGTGAATTTTCTAAACATTGGGAAGAAACTTCAACATATGCCACTGCTGTAGACCAAACGTTAGCTAACCTTGCCTTCTCGATAATTTGTCTTAAGCATGTTTACTATCAAATTACCTAACGTAAACTTAATTAGCAGGTAGCTACATAACGTGTGGAGTCGGAAGCAGCAGCAGCCACAGGCTGGCCATGCCCACCCTGAGGACTGTTTCTCATCATTCAGCTTAAAGCTAACTAGCTAATTGTAGCTAGGTTTCTGCTTTTTCAACTTATATCGTGATGAAAACTGTGTCTTCTCAGGTGGGCCACATATCAATCTTTAGGGATTGCACATATCAACTGGAATGGATTTACCCTCAAAAAACATGTACGACACATTCAAACATGAAATCTGGAGAGGTAAGATTGTAATATTCATGTTGCAGGCCTGTAACGTTACAGTTGATTTTGTCCACCCTTTAAATCTAGCTGCTTAATCACAAAATTATACGTTTAGTGCAATCACAAAAGATTATGTTGGAGGTTGTTTACTGATCTATAAACAATTTTAATATCTCAATTTAGATCTGGGACCACTGGACCCTGACTGGTTTGAGGCACTGACAGCTCAGACAGTCACTAATGAGGGAAGTGTCTCTGATCAAGATGAGCTGTGTGCTAACCAAGAGGGGAATTTTAAAACACCCTTTGATAAAACTACAGTAGAAGTCAGCTGTTTTCAACTCCCAAAGTTTTCAGACACTGTAGAGTTGTATCACCTGAAACTGAGGATGAGCACTCTTTCACTGCTGAACACGGTAATGTTTGATTAAAGTTTGACTGTACATGTATGTATTTATGCAGTAACTATAAGTAAATTATTTCTAGCACAACTCATGCTAAACAGAAATATGAATCTTTGCATAGCACATTTTACAGTTATTATAGTAACCTACTTGTGTCTGCATTGATACACTATCTTGAGGCTACATCTAAAAATAACATTTCTCTGTGGTGCATTTCTAGAAAAACAAACCATGCCATGGACGGTAACACAAAGTCCATGTTTGTTTCCAGGGTGAGTACAACAACTCTTTAGACTTTTTATAAATGTTTTAAATATTCCAAATTAATTTTTTGCATAATTCTCATTTCAACATCCTCAGTAGGAACAGTTAACTTGAGTAATTTGTTATTATGTCTCCCGTTATTGGAGAGCTATAAGACATTCTGAAGAGATGTTCAGCTAAAGCAAAAAAGGAACAAATATGAAGTTTATATGAATACATTTTGAAGGTTAAGAACTATGTTTTGAGAAAAAACTATTCCCATGTATTGTTAAATCAGTGTTCAAGATAATTTTGCCAAAGTTACATGTGTTGTCACTGCTTTCAGTCAGTTTTTGATGTGTTTGTTCTTTTTAGGGTCCCAGGTGCTAAATATGGAGGTATCCAGCCTTACAGTCAGGACAGTTTTGGTAACCTGCAAATTCAGTTGAATTTCATCTGTTTGAGTTACATTTGAAATAGAGATGTAATCATTACTGGTTGATTTATTTGCTTTTGTCATCTGTACAGATCTGCTTCATACACCACAAAAATCCCCAGTAAGTGTATTCAATTCAATGGTGACGTTTTTTTTTCTTTCAGCAGGTATTTAAATGTGGAGTAATGGATAATATTAAGATTCGCCATCTGTATGTTGTTTTTTTGAATGACACAGGTCAGCCATGCCAAGCTTATATCTGAAAGTCTTGGTGCACAGATTCATCCAGATATGTCATGGACCAGTTCTCTGAATACCCCATCAGCAGTACCATCCACCCTGATTTTATGTAAGCAAACGTCACAGTTGGTTGTTTTAAAAGTATATGTGAAATATCTGTGATTTGCTGAATAATTAGTTTGTCTTCTCAATGTTATAGCTAAAACTGATGAGAGTCCCTGCCCAGTGAGTGTTTCTGCAGACAAAAATGTTGTTGTGAGTATTCTGTCCAGCCAAAACATACAACAGTCATACTATAGACAGACATATATTTGGTTTTTACAATCTTCAACATTTGCAGCTTATTCTCTATTTTATGATCTGTAAAAGACTGTAAATATTGACACTATGAACTTGTCACATCATATTATGAAATATTTCAATATTTTTTTAGACATGGGCCCGTATTTATTAAGCTTCTCAGTTTTATTCACTGCTAAGAATCGACTTAAGAGTAAAAAAAAAATTCATGTGTGAAGTGAAGTTTATGTCCTATGTGTGAGTCTTAGAGCCATTCATATTGAATGGTGAAATTCCCAAGAGGAGTTCATATTGAACTCACATTTGACAATAAAGAAGACAACAAGAGAATACATTATCCTTTATCTCCTATTAGATGACACCTGGCACCACAAGGTGCCTTTCAAACAGCTGGCACAGGCTACTTTCACAGGCCATTTGGTTACCACATCCAAAATGTTGTAGTCTGCATCAAACACAACTTGTGTGTTGATGCTGTGGTGCCTCTTCCTGTTCGTGTAAACATTTTCGTTTACGCTGGGAGCAATGACCTTTATATGAGTCTTCAATTGTGCCTACTAATCCTGGTAAGCCGGATATTTGCATCAATTGTGTTTGCATCTGTTGGATTACGCGGGGTGTCGATGAAATGTGCGACAATTTGTGGGGATGTAAGTGCCATAATTGTTTCCATGACAGTTTGGCTTGTTGATGGTTTTTATGGCCCAAAATCATCACCATTGTATTGCTGAATTTTTCCTGTGGCATTACCACCTTCAGTTCAGCTTAAAAAGCATTGCTGCATAAAGTCAGTGGTGAGATGATGTCCCTCACCAATAGGGCTGTAGCGGTTTTGTAATTTCCACCGTGGCAATATGGTAGGACTCAACAGCGCGGTATTATCGCATCTTTCATCAAAGTAATTTGGTGCCATATAGCATAAGAGTGTCTGTCACCTCGCTGCACAGCGAGCCTCAAACAGCAGCTTTATGGTCGGAGCAAGCTAGCTGCTGGGTGCTAGTCAACAACATTGCCAAGCAAACTCTTTTTTGTAGTTTGACCGTGTCTTTATCACACGTTGCTATATCATTACCTTCAGGGCATGTCTATCAAGTAAATTTACATACGCAGCAACACACGCGCGTGCCACAGTGCAGGCTGTCCGCAACTAACCACTGCGCTCAACAGAAAGCAACATGAAAAACAGCTGCAGGCATCCAACACACTACTACGAACAACAGTCTTAAAACTAAATGTACTCACCAGAGAAAGTGAACAGCCGACTCCTAATAGGCTTTTTCAGCGGCGCTAGTTAAATTTACACAGTGCTGAGGGTATGAGTCGGCTCTAGCCTGATTGACAGGTCGACTTGTCAATCATAGATGATCCCGCCCTAAAACATACTCTGCTTTATGGTCTATTTTAAAATAAATGGGACCTTAATTTTAATTTACTAAATAAACATAATTTTGTATTGAAGAAGACTTGAAACTAGCGACTGAGACCATAAACTCATCAGGAAACTGTTTACTGGGGTAATTATTCAGCTGAGAAGTAGGGTCATTTTCCCATTATTTCCAATGGAGCCAGACTTCTTTTTGCAACCAGAAGAGTCACCCCCTGCCGGATTTTCAATGGAATGCAGGTTTCAGAGACTTCCGCATCGGCTTCATATTGTAGACCGGAAGCTTCTCGCTTGGGTCTACTATGCATGTGTCACTACTACATTGCATGCGTAGAAGAAGTATAACTGGTGGGGGAAAACGCTTTTTTTGGGCAGTCAGAGCCCCTGGAGACAATTTACATTTGGATATATTTTGGATAATCTAGCTTTTGGTAAGTGGACATGATGAACAATCTTAAATTGCATGAGCCAGTGTTTTTACATGAAGAGGAGTCATGTACTTGTTGAAGGATTGTTTTTCAAGTCTTGTTGAAAAGTGGAGTCCAGATCTTGTTCACAGTGCACATTGAATTATTTTTCTTTCTGGTGTAAGACAGATGAAACATGTCATTACAGAAAACACAAGAATAAATAGGTATGGAATTTAAATATTGCTTCTGATACTCCATTTTTCTCTGTTATTTTCCTCAGTTTGTACGTAAGCTTTTCCCTTCTCTTTCAAATGCTTCCGAAGTTGTGTCACCCAAAAACAATGACATGCCTACCCTTCACCAAGGTACCGTGTTTTATCTTTTCAATTTGCTAATATCCAAGATGGTGCAGTAGCTCTGAATATGAATTACATAACTATGTGCTGCAACAGATTTACTTATTTTATTATACTGATTGATGGTCTGTAATCAACAGGTGTTGTTTCCCCTGAGGCTGGTCAGAATCCAGAGCCCCATGACTCCCCCCAGAGTTCACTGAATCAGAGTGACAGTGTTTGGAGACAGAAGCTACCAGATACCACTGAGGAGGGAGAAATTCGCAGCACCATAGCAGGTGTTCTTGATGGAGCTGAAAATGTGCTCTCTATATTTTTCACTAGCAGTAGTTCAGCACTGAGGAAAGTGAAAACTGACAGAATCAAAAGAAAGCAAATAATTCCAACAATAGAACATGGCTGCAGCTCTACAGAGATCTCAACAGCAAACAACGATGCATCCAGTGAACAGAGAACAGCTGATCAGGAACATGGCAGATTTCCCTCATCCCCACCAGTAAAAACTGGAGAATATGGAATCACCCAGTGGTCTCCATTGAGTTTATCTGATATTCCACCTAGTACTGTGGATACTTGCCATGATAATAGTCTTACAAGACAAGTGGATAACAATATCATACCAGGACAACTGTGGAATGACACTTCTTTTGGCCAGCTAAGGCCACCTGTGAAAATCTCAGACTCTGGATTTACTAAGAGAAAATTTGTTTACACTGTTGACTCTTTGAAACTGCAAGTTCAAGGAAAAGAAACACAGTCTCAGAAGATGGACTCATCACCACGGATTCCAGATTCTGGTAACGCATTTCTCATGCATGTAAAGTGTAAACATGCTATGATGCATTCTGTGTTAACATGGAGAAAGTATGTTTTCTACATTGATTGAACTTACTCTTTTTATTATCATGCTTTATTTCAGGACAAGAAGTGTATATGAAGCAGTTGGGGAAAGCTCCAGACGAAGCAGACTGTTGCAGTATCCGAAAGAATGAGATGGAAAAACAGGGAAATCTTGCTGAAGAAAATCTACCTCCTTCCGTACAAGCAAAAGTCCAGGATCTCGACATGTCACAGCTTTGCAGAGATTTTGCACAAGACTTTAGTCAAATGTCAGACACAGGTAAACTGAGTAAAGTAGCAGAGGATACTCCTCGAAATGGCTTCTGTCCATCAGCTTGTCTGTCAGCCATGAAACGAGAGAAGCAGAAAGCAAGGCAAGCAAACCTTCACCATGACTGTGATGGTGTCAGTAACAGAAGAAATGTTTCTGCCACTAATAACTCCATTAATGAGGGCACAACAAGTGACAGTGGATTTCACTCAGCAGATATCACTCCCATGACTGCATCATCATTTGTTCTTAGCTCAGAGAACAATCGTCAACAGTGGACTGGCTTTAAAACTGATATCCACAAGACTACTCCTTTTCAATCTACAAATAAAAGAAATGGAAAACCACATTCAGATGATATTTTACAAGAAGCTAAAACTGATGCCAAGTTGTCCACTGCAATCAAGAAAAGCCAGACATTGGGCCCTGGCAAAGAGAATGAGTTGCATATAGAGTGCACATCAGCACAACTATCCAGCAGTGCAAAAGGAACTGTTAATAACATTAATTGCATTCCACTTAATGGTCAAGCTGATGGCAGTCTGCCAGAGAAAACAGTTTCTCTTCCTTACGTCCATGCATCGGGATTCAAGACCGCTTCAAATAAGCGTATACCGATTTCCTCAGCCAACCTGGAGAGAGCCAAGTGTCTCCTTGAAGAGACTGAAGGGGAAAGAACCTCAAGTGATCAGCACATCAAATGTGCACCTGACTCCAAAGCTAAAATTAGCAGTCATGGATCAGTGAAAAATACATCTAACTCAAACCAACCACCTACTTCAAGTGAAAAATGTGTGGATATTAGTTGCCAGTTAACAGCTTCACAAAAAGCTGATGTGACTGAGCTGTGCACTCTCATGGAAGAAGCTGATAGCCAGTTTGAATTTACACAGTTCAAAACTGCAAAGCTAAAACAACATTGTCAAGATAATACCACCTCTCCCAAAAAAGTTGACAAAGAACTTGACCCTGACTTTCTTACCGGTATAGATTTTGATGACAGTTTTAGTTCAGATGCTGAAAAGCACCTGGTAGTAACTGACAAAATGACCTTAGATTCAGATGGTAAAACAAATTGTGAAACAGCAAACATCAAATCCACAGGTTTTTCAGTGTCAAGTGCAATGAAACAAGAAAATCCCTCAGCTGAAGATGTGTCTTCCTCTTCAAATCACATCTCTGAATGCAGTCACAGTATGATGTCAGCTGGACCCAAGAATTGTGACAGAGCTGGACCCATTGAAACAAGCAAGGTTGAGAACAACAATCCCTTGATGCTTGGTGCGGGATTTAAGACTGCAGGAGGAAATGTTTTGAGAGTTTCAAAAAAGTGTCTGAGTAAAGCTAAAGCTTTGTTTGCAGATTTAGAGGAGGACCTTGTGACAAGCAAAAAATTGCCGGACAAGCAAAGTAGTGAAAGTGACGCTAAAACACAACAAAGGCACAGTGTAGATAATCATGCTGGCAACCTTTTGCATCATAAAGAGGATAAATGGAAGTTCAGAGGTTATGATAATAATACCAGGGGGATGATTCAGGGCTGTTTTTCCAACAAGAAGGAGTCTGTCTGTTCAGTCAGACCAGTGACAGGGATTAGAGATGAAGACACTACAAAATGTCTTAAAAACGTCAAAATGGACACAACCACATGTCAAAGTGGGTTCCAGATGGCCAATGGAAAAGGGATTTCTATTTCAACAAAAGCTATGCAAGAGTCAGATGCTTTCTTCAAAGACTGTGACGTTATTGACAGTAACGCTGGCATGTCAGGAAAACATAAGAGCATGGAACCCTTGCCTGGAAGTGTCAGTCACAAGAAAAACCTTGTGAAATTTAAAAATGTTCAAGGGATGAAAGTAAACTTTTCTGAAGAACCAGTCAATGAGCCTGATGTGGAGGTTCACAATCTTGCTTTTAAGAATGCACCGACATTGATGACTGCTGCTTCTTTCCATGGAAACCCATCTTCAACTGCAAAGGCATTTTCATCCCCCTCATGCACAACATCAAAAAATACTGGCTCTTCCATCAATGAGTTAAGCAATAGTGGTGGATTCTGTACAGCCAGTGGGAAGAAAGTATCCATTTCAGCTGATGCATTGAAACAAGCAGAGGGTGTTTTGAATGAAATTCATACACTTGAGGAAACAAACAAACAAGTAAAGAAGAAAGGAGACTCTTTAAAAACCGGTCATCTCACCAATCAAATTTGGGTTTCACCACATAAAAATAGTGGATTTCAGACAGCCAGTGGTAAAGGAGTTACCATTTCATCTGCAGCTCTAAAGAAAGCAAAAACTCTGTTAAGTGAATGTGAAGGAGCTGATGAAGATAAAATTGGTGTAGGACCAACACATTCCAAGCTTCCAATTCATGGTCCACCCCCCAGGGATAGTGGATTTCTTGCAGCCAGTGGTAGACCACTGGCCTTTTCATCTGAAGCCCTCCAGAAGGCTAAAGCTCTGTTCAGTGACATCAGTTTCAGTACAGAGAGCTCACCTGTTTCAGACACAAGGAACAATGACAAGACACAAGACAATGCTGAAAATACAGAGAGAATGCATTGTGGTTTCTCAACTGCGGGGGGGGGGAAAGTCCATGTGTCTCAGAAAAATCTGTTGAAAGCAAAACACATTTTGAAAGAGGTAGATGATGCAGATGCTTCCTTCAGGGACTGTTACATTATGGACGGAAACAATGGCATGTCAGTAAAACGTAAGGAAAGTATAGCACCTGTGAGTGGAACTGGCAGCGAGAAGAAAATCTTTTCAAAATTTAAACCACATCAGAAGGTGACAAACATTTTGGAAGAGCCTAGAAGTGGACACACTGAGTTTGAAAATGTGAACATTGGAACAGTTTTAACGCATGAAAAGATGCTGCCTCTTAATGTAGAGATTAACAAAGATGTTTTCAAGAACACACCGGATTCTACCGAGACAGTTTCTTTACATGGAGACCCATCTTTGATGGCAAAGCCACTTTATTCCCCGTTGTGCACATCAAAGAACATTGGTGCCTCTGCCATCAGTGAGTTAAACAGTGGTGGGGGATTCTGTACAGCCAGCGGAAAGAAAGTATCCGTGTCTGATGACGCAATGACAAAAGCAAAGTCTCTTTTGAATGAAAGTGCTACATTTGAGGACACAAACAAACAACTGAAACAAAAAGATGACACTTTGCCTCCACAGAACGGTGGATTTCAGACAGCCAGTGGAAAAGGAGTTGCCATTTCATCTGCAGCTCTAAAGACAGCAAAAACTCTGTTACGTGAATGTGAAGGAGCTGATGAAGATAAAAATGGTGTAGGACCAACACATTCCAAGCTTCCAGTTCATGTTCCACCACCCAAGAATGGTGGATTTCTTGCAGCTAGTGGTAGGCCACTGGCCTTTTCATCTGAGGCCCTTCAGAAGGCTAAAGCTCTGTTCAGTGACATCAGTTTCAGTGCAGAGATCCCACCTGTTTCTGACACTGTCCATTCTGATGTTCGAAACAATCCTGAAAAGATACACTGTGGTTTCTCAACTGCAGGGGGAACAAAAGTCCATGTGTCACAGAAAAATCTCTTGAAAGCAAAGAACCTTTTGAATGTATTTGCTGATGGGGAGTGTCATGATTCAAGCTCATACTCAAACCCACATGACACAGATAAGTCAGATCTTTCAAAAGAGAAAAGATCTTCAGATTATAATCTTACCTCTTCCAGTGACAAAGATATGCCTACTAATGAAAGTGCCACTCAGATTGTCAAATCTTTAACCTCTTTGCAAGAGACTGACCATACAAATGCCTTTAAGTTTAAAGAACTCAAGATTACCCCATTAATGGTGGGCAAACCCCATGACAGCCCTGGAGAGGAACTGACTGGTGTGTTGGACTATGAAATAAATTGGACAAGCAGCAGTGACGTATCTAAGGTCAAAAGGACAGAAAGGTCTTCAGTTCTTAACTTTCAGTCACTAAACCTAAGAGGCTGTTCTGAAACCCAGGAGAGGTTTCTTGCTCAGGAAGCTCTCGACTGCACTATGGCTTTGTTAGAGGATGAAAGTCTAGCTAGCCAAATTCCCTCAATGACTTCAGAAAACTTGCCACTCCAAGATTATCCTATATCCGGCAACCGATCTGTAGAGGAACAAAAAGGAAGAGGGAAAAGACTGTTAGAGGAATCAAACATGACGGGTAAGTGTCTCCGTTATTACTCAGAAATCTAAATAGTTAAATACGTTTTTGTTAATACTGCACAGATTGTCTCACTATGTATAGAACTTCAACAATCTGAATTATTTGGAGAACAAAATTATTTAATTGCAGTTCTAGTAATTTTGGCCAAAGTATTGACTATATTAGCTTAATTGTATAATTGGTTAAATATATTTTTCCCATATTGCAAATACACCATTATTTTGTCCTCTTTCAAGCTCGACAAAAATCACCTTTTTGAAATATTCTAGGTCAGCCTCCCCTGAAAAGGCGGTTACTGGAAGAATTTGACAGGACTGTTGATGGTCCAAGAGGTTCAACAGTCCATCCAGAAAAAAGTAGTCCAAATGGTAAATCATTAGCACTGTAGCAAGTAATCTAAAGAGTACATATTATGTCTTAATAACTGTTTTTATTCTAATTTAAGGTGTGATGAAAGACAGGAGAGTTTTCAAGTACAGTGTCCCTCTTCATCCAAACATCACAAGGCCACACTGGTAAGTTGTCTGTGAATTTTTGGCCTATGTCACCTGACATTATCAGCACTTTGTGATGGGTTTTTTTGGCCTTACAGGAGTGGAAAGAACTATGTGGAAGCTACATTACAAAAGACAGCTCCAAAACAACACTTAACCCCGGGAGACTGCAGATCAGCACATTCCAAAAAGCCAGCGTTTGTTCCTCCTTTGTTCAAAAATGCAAAGGCAGAGAGTTGCAAGAACACAGTGCTCAAAGACAGCATAAGAACACCTTCTGCATTTGTTCCTCCATTCAAAAAACAAAGAACTATTATCCAAGAGAGCTCCTCTAAACCACAGGAGGAGGAGGGTAAACAACACCATCTCTTAGTAACACCCATTAACAGTAACACTTATGTACCACCCACTAAAAAAACACAAAACACTACAGCTGTAACTGGTCATAAAAGCAAAGACATTCAGAGTGTGGCCTTAACTGACACTGCAAATGATAACCTGATGCATCTTCAAAAAGTTCCTGTTGGCTGTGGATCAGACAGTTCTGCTACAGAGTCATCACATGTGGATAATACATTGTCCAGAAGCCAAGGTGCAGTAATGTTTTTGGATGAAGTCAGTATGATGTACTATAATTACTACGCAAAACATACGTTAAATAATGGTGTCTTTATGATCTACAGACATGTTTCAGAATCTTCATAACATAGGGCTGGCACGAGATATGCAAGACATGAGGATCAGGAAAAAGAAGCGACAGACCATTCGACCTATACCGGGCAGTTTGTTTCTAACGAAAACCTCCGGAGTGTCGAGGATATCTTTAAAAGCTGCATTAAATGGAAGGCCTCCTTCAAGATACACCCCAAAACAGGCAGGGCCAGAACTGTTTTGTCTGTCTATTTTGTTGTATATGCTTGAAAATTAGATCACTATCAGGTAAACAGCTTTTTGACATGTTCATATTCTTGTGTTTCAGCTGTATCGACATGGAGTTCATCAGCATGTGTGTGAGATCACCAGTGGGACTGCAGAATCTCTTCGCTTCAATTTACAGCAGTTCATCAAACAGGAAGCATTTTTAGATGGAGGGGGTGTTCAGCTTGCTGATGGCGGATGGCTGATCCCCAGCAATGATGGGACTGCAGGGAAAGAAGAGTTCTATAGGTATTGAATTTTAAAGTTTAAGGCTTTGTAATGTTGAACCTACTGCAGTGTTTGAAAAAACAGGTGTATCTTGGTATGTGCAAATGCGGACTGCAGGCTGTGTTGAATATCATCTTGTTCTGCACTGTCCGCAGAGCGTTATGTGACACCCCGGGTGTGGATCCTAAACTGATCAGTGAGGAGTGGGTTTACAATCACTACCGATGGATTGTGTGGAAGCAGGCCTCCATGGAAAGATCATTTCCAGAAACAATGGGCAGCCTCTGTCTCACGCCAGAGCAGGTTCTCCTACAACTGAAGTACAGGTATGTAGGATCATAGCTTATATTAGTTCAATATGTTCCTAATGTAAAGTTATTTTCACATCTTCAATTCATCATCAGTTGTGTGTAAATGTCTCCCTGAACTAACAATTGTATTACACATCGACTACTGCCATTTTGTGTAAGATTTAGAAACTTGATGTAATTGCATTTAATTGTGCTTTTTGGTTAATACAGTGAAATGTCATTTAAATAAATGTTTACATTTTAAATAATTACAATTATGTTTTTTTAAATATATTTAGACTCTAAAAATGTTTTTTAAATAATTTATTTTATTGTATGTATATTAGATATGATACAGAGGTGGACCACAGCTGCAGGCCGGCTCTGAGAAAGATCATGGAGAAGGACGACACAGCAGCCAAAACCCTGGTCCTCTGCGTTTGCGGTGTCGTTTCCAGGGGTCACTCCCCAAAAAGACAGCGTTTCAGTGACACCAAGACGCCAGAAGGTGTTGATGCCAAGGTTGAAAACCCTTCTGCAGTTGTTTGGCTGACAGACGGATGGTATGCCATAAAAGCCCTGCTGGATGAACCTTTGACTGCCATGCTTCACAAAGGTCGACTAGCTGTCGGGGGGAAGTTGATCATCCACGGGGCGCAGCTGGTGGGATCACAAGATGCTTGCTCCCCTTTGGAGGCACCTGACTCTCTCATGTTAAAGGTACTTTAAGAGGGAGGTCACACATTATTCTATCTGTCCACAAGGCAACCAAATAACAAGTTGGTTTATTGATTGTTTATGTGTTTAGATTTGCGCCAATAGCAGCAGACCCGCTCGATGGGATGCTAAACTGGGATTTCACAGGGATCCACGGCCATACCTGCTTCCTGTCTCCTGTTTGTACAGCAATGGAGGACCAGTAGGATGTGTGGACATCATCATACTGAGAAGCTACCCCATACAAGTGTGTTTAGTCATGCATTGATATATTTTTACTGTTACTACTGGAAATTTGTGTTGTGATCCCTTTTCACCGTATGCTTGTCACATCTTTCAGTGGATGGAGAGGAAACTAGATGGAGGCGTTGTGTTCCGTTCAGTTCGCGCAGAAGAGAAGGAGGCGAGACGATACAACAGCCACAAACAAAAAGCTATGGAGATCCTGTGTGCCAAGATTCAAGCTGAATTTGAAAAGGAGGAGAAAAGTAGGACTCGTGTTTTCTGCATGTTAAGTACAGGTTGAAATGGAATAAGTTTTAATAAACTGTCATCATCAGGTAACAACAAACCTCAGCGTAGAAGGCAGACAGTCAGTCATCAGGATATTGCAAGTCTTCAAGATGGAGAGGAGCTCTATGAAGCAGTTGGGGATGACCCAGCTTACCTTGAGGTGATAAGAAATTTGTTTACAGATTGTTGACCTAATTTTGCTAATGAATAGAGTTTTAATTGCACACCTATTTTATTTACATTACCAAGGTTCACTTGAGTGAACAGCAGTTGGAGACTCTACATAACTACAGGCGTTCTCTGATGGAAAAGAAGCAGGCTGAACTGCAGGATCGGTACCAACGAGCTGTAGAAAATGCAGAAAACGGCGAAGGTGGCTGTCCTAAGCGAGACGTTACACCTGTGTGGAGACTCTGCTTTGCTGACTCCATGGACCAACCCGGCAGTGGTGTGTCTTTATTTTTTATTCATTTTAGATGCACTATGGTTATTAAAATTTATGTACTTTTGTGTGTTAAAATACGGATTTAAAATTATGATGTTGGGTTTTTTTTGTGTGTTGTTAGTTTACCAGTTGAACCTTTGGCGACCGTCCTTGGATCTTCAGTCTCTACTGAAGGAAGGTTGTCGATACAAAGTGTATAACCTTACCACTTCAGATGGAAAGAAACATGGTGGTAGCTCAACTGTTCAGCTGACTGGGACAAACAAAACACAGTTTCAGGACATACAGGTACTGTAGAAACTAGCTATCTTGAGAACACTCAAGACACAGATGATGGAAATTATTTATAATAATTTGTTTTATCATTCAGGCTTCTCCGGAATGGTTATTAACACGTTTTCAACCGAGGGTCTCAAGCTCTTTTGTGGATCTTCAAAACCCAGAATTCCAGCCGCTGTGTGGAGAGGTTGATCTCACAGGATATGTCATCAGTATCGTAGATGGACAGGGTAGGTGATTTTTTTTTTTTTAAAACCATTTCTGCTGTAACTATTGTTTACTGAATGATGGTTTGTTTGTGCTTTTGAAACCCAGGTTCCTCTCCTGCATTTTATTTGACTGATGAGAAACTGAACTTTGTTAAAGTGCGCTGTTTTAGCAGCTTGTCTCAGTCTGGCTTAGAAGATGTGGTAAAACCTTGTGTGCTGTTGGCTCTGAGCAACCTGCAGCTGAGAGGTCAGTCCACATCTCCCACTCCTGTTGTGTATGCTGGAGATCTCACTGTCTTCTCAACAAACCCCAAGGAAGTTCATCTACAGGAATCCCTTCACCAACTCAGAAACCTGGTCCAGGTACAGTGCTGAAGTCCCAAACCTGTAAAGCTGCTGACATGCTTCACACTATTCACTTATTTAAAGATACCTCGTTTGTCAAAGACTGGATGCTCTCATAGCCAAGGAGCTTCATGTTCTGAAGAAATCAAAATTAGAATTGCATTAGCAGTAATTATATCAAGGTACAGGTGCAAATTATGATTTTTAATCATTTTGTCATTTTTACTGGGTTAACTTTTAAAAGAAATGCATTTGTCGAAAATGTGGTGGTGAAATAGCAAAGTTTTAGTCATTGCAATCTCCCAAATTTACCTAACAAGTATTTTATACATTTTTCTTACAAACCTACTCTGATCAACATTCTAAAAACCACAGACACAGAACTGTGCATACAGAAACATGAAACGTATAGTATGAGGAATGTAATGGACTAATGATCAGATCCTGGAATTATTGTTAAAAGTGATTAATAATAATAATTACTATTATTATTAATAAAAATGTTAAAATTACATTACTATTATCTTCATCGTGTTTTTTCAGGGTCAAGAGAACTTCCTTCTTACTGCTGAGGAGAAACTTTCACATTTAGTCAAATGTGATGGCCTGAGCTCCATCTCTTCTCCAGCTCTACAAACAAGGACCCCAGTTTCTACAATGGACAGAAGACGAGAAACAAGAACAAGTGTGGGTTAATGTATTTGCTGTGGTATCTGGGGTTGTTCTAACTACTTCACATTGATTAAACATTTAAAATGTGGTTTTCTTTTGGTTTTTTTAAGCAGGTGTCATTTCAGCAGCCAGTCAGAAGTCTTGGATCCTTCACACCCGTCAGCAGGAACCCTCCTGCACCAAACTGTTCAGCAGAGAAAGACCCGAGCAGCCTGAAGAGGAGGAGAGCTCTGGACTATCTGTCTCGTATCCCGTCTCCACCCCCTCTCTCCCATCTGGGCTCAGTGGCTTCTCCATGTGTAAATAAGACATTCAACCCCCCTCGGAGGTCTGAGACACCTAGCACTTTAAAAACTGTACAGACTCTAGCTCGCAAACCTGTCGATTTACCGATGGAGGACGAGTGGGTGAATGACGAAGAACTGGCTATGATTGATACTCAAGCATTGCTTGATGGTGATTTACTGTAGGTACATAAGACTGTATGATGATAAGCATGCTACAGCTTTTAAAAACGTGTACAAATGACTGAATGTAAAGGCTGCGTATGGCAAATATTCTGTGTTGTTTTGTAGTCTTGCTCAGCTCATTAAAGATGTGAAGTCACTTCACAACAGTAAAATCATGTCATCAGTTCATACTGATCTACATTCTTCAGTCTACTTTTTTGTCTGTAAAACTGATCAGGTTAGAGACAAATTTAGGATTCCATTCCTGCAGTTTAGCTGCATGATTTCCTTGTGCAACATTTGAGGACAAATAACAGGGCTGGTTAGGGAGTCTACTGACACAGCTGTAGATACTGACGGACAGTTAGTTTTTTATAAGTATTAGTTTTTTAGTTAATAGGTAAGAAAGATTTCTACAATAACATACATATACTGATAGAGCAAACAGAAGCTCATGATAGTTATTTTGAAACTAAGGTGTAAGGTAATTAAAATAATTGGTATTGGCTACTAAACAAAAATGAATTCTCCACTTTAATAATGAAGATACTAACCTTATGTAATAAAAGGTTATTCAAGTACGTGTTAACTAATGTGTTAAATTAGTTAAAAAATTCTGGAAAATGTCAAATTCACTTTTGAAGGAAGATTACATTACACTTAAAGTATAAGTATATCTTAAATCAAGTAATCCTTCAGATATATTGGTTTCATAGTAATCAAGCCCACTTCCAGTCATGTTAGCAACACCTTGGCATGCTGTAGATTTGGTGCATTTTGTTCTTGTTTGGTAACTTGTAGTGTTTCACACGCCACTGTGTCCAGCAGGTGGCGCTGACACGCTCATTCCCGGTTCCCTGTCCGTTAATGAGGAGGAGAAGAAGAACACGTCACGTCCGTAAACACAAGGCACCTGCATTGTGAAACATTGTTTTATTTTCTGTTAATGTTGTTGCCCTTATTTATGCATCCTGAATGTGTACGGTGAGCATTAATGAAAAGCGACATTCTCTTTATTATATTACTCTGAAGATAGTGAATTATTTAACTTAACGGGTGTTTTGTTTCACCGTTTTCTGTATGTCGTTAGCTTGTGAGGTGATTATAGTAACGTTAGCTGACGGTTGCCTTGGTTTCGATTTGAGCTTCAGTTTATGTAACGTTAGTTAACTTACCGTGTGACCTTAGTGAGTTTCTGTACACAAAAAATATAAAACTGTTTTTAAATGCGGGTACACGCTGAAATACTGGTTCCAACATTTTTTTGCTTCGACCGGTTGACCTACTTAACGTTACTGTTATTGTAATACAATATAATTAATATACCGTAACAACGAAAAGAACTACACAGATTCATCATTTAAAATGTAGTATTTTGTGGTTGTCCAGTGTATTAATGTGTTTGAATCTGTTTTCATACAGATGTCTCAAACTGAATCATTCTGTACGACCACTCAGGGCATAGGAAACCGTGGCGTGGGTGTGCGTGAAAGAACCGAAGATGGGAGAGCTGACAAAGACACGACATTTGTGAGAAGTGACTCGGCCAGTCCAGAAAGAAATGTGAGGGAGCGTGTGTTAAAGGAGGTAGGACTCACCAGCACCACCTTCATTGGTCCAGCATTTCCTCCAAAAACAACCACAGTCAAGTCTGACATTGAAGACACATTGAGTGAGTTTTACAAAGAGCTTGAGAACATCGACAGACCTGATGGTGCTAATGATAACCCAGGGAATCAAGATGCATGTTTTGTTCAACCACCCATTCCTCCCAAATTTTATGCCAGCAAAGAGACTCAGGGTGTAAGCGAGGAGAAAAGTATTAACACAAGAAAAGCTGCAGAAACAGACTGCTATCAGAACAGCAGTGGACAGAAACATCCACCTTGGCCACACTGGTATCAAAATCAGCCATACTACCCCAGAATGCCGAGGCCAGGCATGGACCGGATCTGTGGCAGAGCTGCTCCTACACAAAGTCAATGGCGTCATCCTCAAACACTGAAGGGACCACCAAACCCAAGATTTCACAGACCCCCATTCCATCGCCCCCCGACCCCATCTGCATTTCCAAATCCACAAAACCGGCCATCACACATGAATCAAAACTGGAGCGGTTCAGGCTTGACAAACCGCTATCAAGAGGAGTCGCATTTTCCAAGATTTTCTAGCTTCCCACCTCCGAATGTATGCAGTCCCACCTCTCAGGACTTTTATGGAGATTCTCCATACCACTTTGACAGGGACGAACGGGGTTGTAGTAATGATGGGAACTCAGATCATGTAAACGCTGGATGGTCTACAAATAGAAAAGAAGAATTGTGTCAGTTGGGTGAAGATTATGACAGGTGGCAGCGATATGATTCAGAAAATGAACTGTGGGAGCATCACTGCGAACCTGTTAACAATAATGCATACCATTCTCCCTTGGTGCTGATCCTGATGAGGGGATTACCAGGGTCTGGAAAATCAACACGGGCCAGGTACCTCTTTTGTCTCCTAAATTACTCAGTTTAAAGAAGTTCCTAGCCTAAACATGTATGTCCCACCTTTCTCACAGGGAGCTGCTTTCCATTGGTCCCAGTGGGCTAATACTGAGCACAGATGACTACTTTGTTCACAGAGATGGCTACCATTACGAACTAGGCCTTCTTGGAGCGGCACATGAATGGAACCAGAGCAGAGGTATTTTCTCCTTTTATGCTCACACGGCATTAACGGTAAAAAAGTTATTCCCATGTCTTGAAAAATGCTTAATCACAAAGGCATTTCTGTCAGACTTATATTAGAACAGTCTTTAGTGTGTTGTCTTCACATTGAGGGTATTTTCAGACATATGAAGAGTAGTTTTCTTTGAAGAGCAGTGGTCTTTGGTAAACAGTTTAAGTCAAATATTGTTAGTCCAGTGTCTCAGCCTGTTAATAAAAATCAGTGACATCTCCAACATTAGATGCCCTTTTAGCTAATAAAGTAGGTGCATTATGAGAACAACAAGTTTCTTTAGGTGGTGACAGTTTAGAAAATGTGGTTTGATGAGATTTTCTTCAGAACTTATTTTTTTGTGCTCAATCCCCTTTCAGCTAAAGACGCTATGCGTGATGGCCGATCTCCCATTATTATTGACAATACAAACACCCAAGCCTGGGAAATGAAGCCATATGTCCAAATGGTGAGTATGGGATTGAGTGTTCAGTTATGGTGTACAACACCACTTTCATAGATCCTAATAGAAATGTAAAATTTTTTGACAGGCCTTGGAGAGAGGATACAAAGTGGACTTTTGTGAACCTGACACCAGCTGGAAGTTTGATCCTTATGAACTGGAGAAGTATGATTTCTTACTTATCATATTATCTTTACATGCCAGTGCAGACTTTGAAAAATGTATAGAAACTTACACATTACCGCACTAAACTGTTTTCCTTGCAGGAAGAACAAGCACGGAGTTCCCCAGGAAAAGATTGCACAGATGATGGATCGTTTTTCGTTTCCCATATCCGTAGACATCGTCATGAATTCACAAGAGCCGTCTCATGTCAACCAGAGACGTCGACCAGAGCAACCACAGATGATAATGAAAACCAGAGCTTTCCATTAGTTTTCAGAGGAATTTAACCAGCCAAATAATTTGCCTTGAAGAACACTTTTTTAATATTTTTAACTGCTGTTTTTCCATGATTTTTATTATTATTTTGTATACTGTACATTTATATAAAGAGATAAGAATTTTTTTCTGAAGTTCTCATAATTAATTTCTAATGTGTAACATCTGTGGAATCAATTATTTTGTATTAAATGACTGATTTTTCAAACTTGCCCTTTTATGTGTGTTCTGTACAAAATGCAACTACATGGAAAACCAATAGGTTGTCCTCATCTGACTAATTTTTAATCTTTATCTAAAAGGATTACCAATTGGACACTCCGCATGGACACTCTGCTTATGAATTTAATTTTTTACTGTTTTATGTCTATATGGTGGGAAAATTTCCATCATAAAAGAGTCGTCAGGAGAAATCTTTTAAGTCAGAAATTAGGAAGGGATCTTGTAATAGTCGGTATGAACAAGAGGAATTATTACATCAAGCAAAACCTGTTCCACTGTTCCGGGGTGCACTTTACTATAGTTTTTTGACAGAATAATTGTGAACCTATTATTTAAATACAACCAGTGGAGTGTTTGACCTCTTGTAGCGCCGGGTACCTATTTTGCTCGTCTCATGGGGGCGTACATGCCAGGGCTGATGCGATACACATTCCCACCAATGGCCTCACAGTATTAGCCTCCAGGTGGTGGTAATGGCAAAGATATGCAGCTATGGCTCGGCCAAGGGAGGAAAGGAGATGAGTACCTGCTAGGAAACATGGCTGTAAACAATGCAGGTTTCAGTGTCGTTCTTTTCAAATTGGCTTTGCAGGTATTACATAACAAATGAAAAGCACTTGTGTTAGACTTCTAGGTGAGTAACACTAAATGTAAACACAACTCTTGGTTGTTTACATGAAAACTCCACAGGGCACCTTTAAGTTGAGTGAAGTGTGAAAGTGAAGCATTGGTAAATATAACACTAGTTCAAAATATTCGTAGACTGTTAGGTCTCTGTGAACTGAATTTCTCATGACACCTTCTTGTCCAAAGCAGAATAACTCCATAACTGCATGAGACCTAATCATACTGAAAGCTCTGACATAGAGCAGAATAACAGTGAGTGTGAATAGTTCTGTGTCTGAGATGATTCATTATTGTGTCTCACAGGAAATCACACTGCCATTGTATTCCCCCCGGTCTTCATTAAAGCAGCACACAGAGGTGCTGTTTTGTTGATGTCATTCTTTTTCCAGTGAAGTTTTGTGGAGAGCCAGGAATTCTTTTTCTCTGGACTTCAGACTATTCTATGTAAACACATCTCCATTTGAGCTTGAAAATTTGATCCAACTGGTTTCTGATTCTACATAATATATGTAGTTGACTGAAATCTTTGTTAATGTGTTATTTTCTATGGAAATTATACCATATTAGACACCAGTATTTTATTGCTCCCTCTGAATATTTTTCTGTGGAGCTTCATGTGACAGATCTGGGTTACCTGTCTTGTTAAAATAGCCAAAAAGAAAACACTGACAACTGGATGTGTTGAAGAAACGAGCGGTGGAGGCTGAAAACACTAGAAGTGGGTGGACCAAATGACACAGACATCTTACCAGTCCAAATGATATTTACTGCTGTTCCATTGTCTTGTATGATATTTCCATTAATTCATTCACTGCTGTTGAACAGACATCACACAGATTTCAGCAGCACTTTCATCTTGACAGCTGTGCATTTTTCAGTTTTGTTTGTCAGTTGGTTTTGAAGACGTTTCACTAACCTAGAAGACGTGATTTGCTGAGGAGCATGGTGATCCCTCCACCAGCAATGGGTTTTCATTATGATGAAGTTAATGGATGATAAGATCATATTTGGTAATCTTCAGCAAACAGGAACATATTTGCTGACTCTTTTGTAATGTTTCAAGGTTCACTGATGACTCAGGATGCAGTATATATAGTGTACCTTTGTCAGTAGCTTCCTGTCTTTTCTCTGGAGCTTTATTAACATCACACTGACCTTGATCTATTGAATCCAGTGCCAGTGATTTAGGAGTTAAGGAAATAATGTCAATCACAGTGTTTTCCGCAGTATATATAAGGTGATGTGCCAGCATATAGTTGATTTAGGTAAATGTGTTACAGCCTGGACAATGTCAACCTTGGGGGAGAAGCAAAAAAACATGCATGGTTTGGGATTATAGTAACTTAATCTGCAACAGGTACAAGAAAGGAATTACAAAACTGCTGAATAAATAATGAAGATATTTAAAACGAAGAAAGAGATATTTTCACACACTTTCCACAAAGTAAAATGATGGTTGAGAGTAAGATTATGTTAAATGTGAAGTGCAGTGATCCGTCTCTTTCATAACTTGCCTACAATTTTGAACTACTAGACTTCTAATTTGTAATATCAATTTAATGATTTAGAAATGTCATGAGGGCACTTTGGGTAACTTACTACAATCTTGATATTGAATATTTATGCAATTACTTGTATGTGTAAAAGATTTTAAAGTCCCTAAAAATGTGCACGACGACCTTGTGTAAGAGAATCAATATGGAAGCAGTTTTAAAGGAGCTTAATTTCCTTGTGTGATTGACAATGTCTCCCTTTTCTCCAATGTCAGTTAGCCATTTGAGTCATTGAGAATTGTTCAACATGTAGCATCAACATGTAGTATCATCATTTATTGGAATCTAAAACACTAGTCCTCACAGTCATGATGAAAAAGAGATCAATCAGTAAGTCACTTAGGAAAATTAATCAATAAATGAGACTATATAAACTGTAATGAGAAGGTACGATGTTGAACTACACTAAAGCAGAAATACCTTCAGTAATTTTTGTAACATTTTCCTGTAATTAATTTACAGTAACATATGTTGTAGAGGATGTGTTTTATATTTGCTTGTGTATAAAACAGTGCCCAGTGCTTTAGTGGTTCTATCTTTTTCATTTGAATATTGAATGTAGAGTGAAACAATCTCTTTGCAAATCAAATCAAGAACACAATCATATTCTCGGCAAGGAGCAGGACATTAGCAGCATTTTGTATCATTCAACATCCTAGACCTTAATAAAGCCGGGGTGTGTGCAGGAGCACTGAACACTCTGACGGGAGTGATAAGAACTTCTCTTTCCACAGAAAACAAGATTATTCTGTTTTAAAACCTGAGCCAACACACCAAATTCTTCTCAACAATTTTACCTCATACAGACAAGCTTCAGTTGACACAGAGCTAAAAGGGATGGTCAGTTTGCATCCTTCACACTGGTAATCTCAGGAAGTCTAGGAACAGGGCCTTGCTTGTGATTTGTATTGGTAGTTGTTGAGATTTCAATTTCTGCTTTGATTAAAATGACAAGTAGAGCATCTGGAAACTCCAATTTGTTGAAACGCTCTTGAGGCAAGCTTTCAGTCAGTGACCTTCAAGCATCCTTAGAAATTACCTTCCTATTTTTAGAAAGGATATGGTTTTCTTCCTATCATTAAACTATTTGTTGAATTTTGGTTCTTGTGCCTCCGTCAAGCCTTTTATCTGATTAGGATTTCAACTTTGATTAAAACTGATTGATTTATTTTTTTATGTATTTTAAGTAAAGCTAAGTTGGATTTTCGCAATCCATATACACAATAAATTGTTTGCAACCTTGTATATCACTTTACATTTCATGGTACAGCAAATCTTTCATATACACTTCCAAAGGAACTAAATCACCCCACATCAAGAAATCCTTTCTTCATTATACAGTAAAACTACCAGCAAGGCTATGCCAACCATGAACTGTAATTTGTGCAACAGTGACACAATATCCTGCTGTTTTTAAACAACAGGATGTCAGAAACAGGAAAGGTCATACATTTTAATTCTGGAGGAGCTAACGTGCCCATGCTTCCTGCATTGGCACCACATAAATTACTGTCAACAGAAATGTGTACACAAAATGTACACCTGAAACCTAAACACTTAAAACTTATTTTGTACCCACATTTTGGTTTATTTGTGTGACTGCAGTACATAAATACTCAAGCAAGCTTTGAAGGTTTTACTTAGGTTGGAGTTTTACACAGAGAATAGACATTAACCAAATATGGGCTACTGTAAATGTCAATGGCTTAACTCACAAAAATGATGATATGGTTCTGCTTAGCTACCTCATCTATTTTGTCTTTATTTTGTTGAGCAAGATTTTCCTTAACCTGTGAGACTATTTCTGCCTTTTATGAACATTTGCAGCTGTAAAAAAACCCACCAATATTCAAACTGGTGGCTGGTAACAGTGTTTCAAACACAACCATTATAAAGGCTGGAGCCTGACTACAATCTGAATTCATGATTGAATATATTAAACTGAGCGATGAAACAGAAACTGACAGAAAGTGTAACAGTGTTGAGGGGGAGGTTTGCAAAGTCACTGTTGTTTATCAGCGTCTAAACCTCGCCTTGAGGGGACACGTGTGTTTGTAAAGTGAGCTTCCCGGGTGTGAAGGTGTGTAATTGTAATGTGAGGCAGCCAGCAGCAGAAAAAGAGCGTGTGTGCTTTGAATGATGAGGAAGATGAGGAAGAAGTGATGAGCGCGCTGTGCTCCCTGAATGGCAATGATGAGCCACAATTAAGTCACAGCCATTAACCATCTTAGAGACTAAAAGGACAGATGAAATCAGAGCTGACATCCACATGAGGCAGAGGACAACAAAAACTAGACAAGACAGGCTATGTGTGCTCAATATCACCCCACCAAGCAATCCATAATGGTAACAATAATAACTAGACTAATAATAAACTAGAAATCAAAGCTATCCCTAGTTTACTGTATTTCATTATCTGCATTATTCTAGCATCCATTTTATTTTGCATGTCTTTGCAAATGGAACATCAGAATGACCAAGAAACACTGTTGGACTCTGTAGCTTACTGGTATGACCGGTGCTAGAGAGAATAAGTGGACCCTGCATGACTTAAAGTATTACTTGCCACCACTCCGTAAATGCAAATCTTGAAACTTGTCATCCTTAAAAATAAACTGTTTCGATGAGATTATCTCAGTAGGGTAGTTTCTCCCTACTGCAACTCTTAGCTGCAAATAGAGATTTGATATAGGTTAAAAGCCATTTAGTCTGAAAAGGGTGAAACATAAGATGAAGGTTCCTATGAGAACAAAGTACTTGTGAATGATGATGGTTCTGGTTTGGCAATATTTAGAAAATGTAAAACTGTAAAAAAACAAACAAACAAAAAACCCTACCTGGCTGTTGGCTATACAGTTCACGTTGTTTATTGTGTTTGTCACGTGAGGCTGACAGCCAATGACAACAGTGTTCTGCCACCGCACAGCGTGTCATCTTTTTACACACTAACGACCAGTCAGTGGAGGCAAGTCAACCATAATAAGACAGGACACTAAAACATACAGTCTTCCAAATAAAAGACTTAGTTAGCAGCAGTAAAGCAACACTACAGTATATAAATAGCCTACATAAATATGGAGTAAATACTGCCCAGGACTATGAGTGACAGCATGTCTCAGTGGACTAATCAGATTACACTTATTGGTTATTTTGATTACACCATAAGCATGTAATTCAATATATTCCTCAATGTCGGTATTATCAGAGTGTGACATCAGTCCACCACTCTCAAGAGAAGCTTATCTGGAATTGCTCGTCATCTGCATCCATCAGCCAAAGAGAGATAGAGAATAATGCTTTAAATCAATCAATCAGTCAATAGGGCATCAAAGGACAAGAAAATATTTGGTATTAGTTGAATTCATGTGAATGTGAATTACTGTGCCCATATAGTTTTTTGTCTGATATAATTATCTATGAGCACTAGGTCATTATACTTGGTCACTTTTTTATTTAACATAGAATCCGCTTACTTCAGGTAAAGCACAGTGTTTTGCTTGTGCTTTATATTTGCAGTTATTGTAATCTCTATTTCAACTTTGATTATATTGACAGCAAGAACGTACACACTCAAGTAGTATAAACAGTAAATCATTTGCATCATTACATTTAATGGTCTTGTTCAAGCATGCCTGGAAATGATTCCAGGCATCCTTAGGAAGGATGTGCTGCTCTTTCTATCAGTACAGCCTACTAAATGTTCTTAATCATCTATCATTTATTTTGCCTTCATATTGTAATGTTTTGTTCATTATTAAAGGTAGGCTATTGCCCTTATTTTGAGCAGTGTTACTGTTTTCTTCATTGTCCATGCCAATTGATTTACTGCTTTGATGTACTACTACCCCACAATATTTACTTGGTAATGGTTTGACTCTTTCACCATTAAGGCTCTTATTTTGAAACATTTCACCGGAAGTCTTGCCGCACGTCCAAACTACCTTGACAGGTGTAGGGCTCAACATGCTATGGATTTGATAGCCCACAGTCCGGCTTCTAGTACGCTGCTGGCGGTCTTACGGCAGGTGTTTCCTACGGCTGACGTTATCCGTCCTGACGGTGTCGTTGACAATGTGTTGGGTGCCGCCGTATCAAACGCGTGCCTCTGATCCTTATGGCAGTTCGATGTAGATCAATCGCATACATGTGCAGAGAGGGAAGTTTACGTCCAGCGACCTGAGGATAGAGGCGGATAACTGCAGTGCAGGCTACACGTTGTACGGTCAGTGGCTCTGCCTTTTCTGTGGATTCTAGGATGCAGGGAGAAGATGTGCAAATATTGACATGATTATAGCAGTTACTGCAGTAAGGGTTTGGTTAAATGTCTAAAATGCGACTTGGATATGTTTTATCTAGATACGAATTAATCCATTTAAGAAACTTAGATGGGACACAAAGTACTCAATATGTCAATATGCAGGGCAAGTCTGAAACCCATATATATATATTCTTAAATTTAAATACATTTGTCTGTACGTTGGAATACGTTTGTTTGTTTCAAAGCACTTAAAATTGACCAAAAATGTTATGATTTAATTGACTTGCAATTTATTTGTCCGATGGGCTTTGTATCTATTGCATCTGAATACATTAATAATATGTTAATATATGTATTTTCTGCATATTTAAAAATAAATGATAGTATGTACAGGCTAGCTCCTTTACATTGCAGTCTGAGAACAAAAGATGCTTGAAGCAGTGAGGGGAGTCTAAGTTTAGCTGACTACCTCTCACCACATGTTGAGTCATTAGCTGCTGGCACACTTGATGGGTAAACCTGTTCTCTGTGGTTCCTTGTGTTCATGTGGCGGTTAGTGGGAGATGGCTACTGTGCACCTTTGTCTGTTCATAATAACACCACTAATCTCATCAAAGCACTGCTGAGGTCTGACCCCAGGGTCCTTTAACAACTTGATCCAGGAACATTTGTCTAAAGTTAAATATGTGCAGAATTGTACTCCTTTAGGTAGGCAAGGCGATGCTCATATTGTGAGTTAAATATGTGACAAAACTATATTTTTATAGAACTTATTTGGATATTTAACAGTTAGCTAAATTCAAAAACCAAAGGCCAAGTGATGGATAATTTTTTTTTTCTGATTCTATACCTCAGACACATCTGTGTTACAGGCATTGCCTCTGTACACAGATTTAATTTTAGTTCTCATTGTTAGGCAGAGGCAGTGCTCTGAGCCTCCCCAGCTGCCGGTTACATAATGTCAGCCAAGGATGGCCACAGTTTAGTGAGCAGAGGGGGAAACTCAGGCAGAATTGAACAGAGACAAAACTGAAGGAGGCCCGATTACAATGTTACATAAGGGATGTTTTCCTTCCACTTGGCTGGGATGATGCAGATGATGGTGGGCCAGAAATAGGTCTGAGTGAAGGAAGATGGGATGCTGCACACACTATATTTACCAGCAGTGGAGAACAGACAAGCCTGGTTATGCACAGTGAGGGTACAGCTCTGACGATCAGTTTATAGAGAGAAATACTTGCATTTCATGTAGCGCAGGTTGGCCTTTGTTGCTAAAATCCTGTGGTAAATGTTCTCAGTAATATTCAGTGTGCACAATGGTGCACACAGTTGGCAGCAGACAATGTTACATTCAAGGACATATCAGTCTAATGTCTTTGTAGAGAGGTGGATGGGGGTATGTCTGATTGCTCTCCTTCTGGTTTACCTAATCAGCAAAGTGCACAGTGGCATTGCATGGTTGATTAAGTTGCAATGCAGGTATTGAAGTGGAAGGACAGTTTAAGGTGTTAATTTCCAGCTTAAGTGCTATTTAATATAACTCTAAAGCCATCATTCTCACATGAGATTATGGATTGTAATTGAATATTATGCAATGCATTTGTAAAAAAAAAAACATAAATGGTAAGTGTTTCTTATTATTTACAGCACTTACTGATTGTGCAACATATAGCACCTGTGTGATGGCAGTGATATATGACACATGCTGGTATGAATTGCCCTGACAACTTTCATCTATCACATGTGATACAAAAGAGCAAATCACCTCTATATCACAGAGCAGAAAATCCTTGTCACATTCCTCAAGATTGTGTTGAAAGTTTGAAGTTTGTTGCAGCCCTGGCCACACCCAGTGTTTTAAAGCAGATGTTTTGCAGCATACCTACTAGCCCTGTGCACCGATCTTGCACTCTGTGTTATGATTTGTTGTTCAATGTCAGGGTTTGTACAAATCAGATGTGAAATGCAGAGGAAGAAAGACTCAGCTTACATCTCTGCTGGCCTTTTTTGCTATTACCACATGTAAAATGGTATTTTCCTCATTAATGACAGACTTAATGAACTTGGAGGTGAAGTTGGAGATACATAATCTACTAAAGATTATAATAGCAAAATAACTTTAAAATAACCACATTTTTTGATATAGATATTTTAATACTTTTCTTACTAAGGTCTGAAGAATCAAAAGTCATTGTAATACATTCATAGTTGGATAAACACTATTTTTGCTTCCTGTTCTGAACTAACTAAACCAACTGATGCCATGCTGCAAGAAAGCATGTGATGAATTTCCCCATGATACGTTTTTAGAAAAAGGCAGCTCTGGAAATCTTATTAAGATTGCTACAGTTTGATCAAATTCTTCAGCTTTGCAAACATGCAGTTTGTACACAACTGTTTTAAAAACTCTTTTTGTGGTCAACGTGTGATGGAAATTGTCTTATGTGGGTTTGCTTTGCATGAAATTAATTAAATTACATTTTATGTTATGAAAGATATTAGCCACACAAGTCAAATGATAACTCTGCATATTGAGATATTTGTTTGTCTAAAATAACAATATTATCCTTGGATAATACTGTGGAGAAACTCTTTGTACATATAGTGCTTGAGGGAGCTGCAGCAGCACTGCAGGAACTGTGGGCTGCATCCCAATAAACTGAGATCACTGCAGTGGGAGCTGTGAAAACCAGACATAACACAAACATCACAATTACATAATCCCTAAATTTGCAATCAGTTCTGAAATTCTTAATGCAACTCTAAAGGTTAAATAAAAGTATAATTCACATTAATTTTATAATCTACTATTTAGGAAATATTTATAAACATGGATGGTTTTCCAACCATATCTCCTCACTTCTCTTTTTTTGCTCAACTAGATAATCATATAATGACAGTATAATTTCTTATTTAAGAGTAGCGTTAATCACATTTTTTAGTTATGAAATGGTGAAAGTACTATAAAAGTAGCCACAGTTTTGTATCAGAGGAAAATAAAGGTCTTTGACAATTACATTAACAACCTGTAACACAATTAAATGATATTTAGTTATGAGCAGCAATAAGCAGTGCTGTCTAATGTAAACAGACCTACAATCTAGCCACATGTGTACATATTAGCCTTGAATTTCCAGGGAAATTGAAAGTTCTTCTCAGAATCACTAAGGGTCATCTTAGGTAAAAGAGATTTCTAGGACGTGAGCTGATGCTGAATTGTTCCATTGCTTGTGACACTGAATGAAATATTATAATATGTAAAACCCAACAGCAGCCTGTTGTCTGCCTAGAGAGTGTCACATAGCTAAGGAAAATCTTTACAAAAATAACTTTCACTCAGACATGATTGATGTTCATTTTGCATCTTGTTGGCAACAGAAATGGTTTATGTGTTGACCTTTCACTTCTGCATTACCAGAAAAAAAATTTGACACTGCTGTGGAAATTGACCTGCTGAGTGCTCTGTGAGATGAAGACTGCCTCCTCACTGTTACCTTCGTAGTTAATTTATGATCCCCGTTGTTTTTTTCACAGACAATTGATGACAAATTAAACCTGATGACTTTTATTCATAATGCTTAACATAAGTCCTTCTCGGGGACTGGAGGGTGGATGTGAATCGGCTGCCTGATCATGACCGCAGCTGGTACTTAAAGTACAAAGTGGAGGGTTTGTGTTAAATTACTGCTGCTACCTGACCAGATGTTTTAGGGTGTCTGCTGATTAGGGTTTCCAGCTGACCTTGTTGAACAAGCATGTAGAGCGGAACACCACTGTGCTGTTCCCTTCATGGGGTCCACAGTGCTATTTTCGTAATGAAACTGAGTAACTGTTTGATGGATTTATCATTTGGAAATAAGCAGGGAGATGTGTTTGTCTTTGCAGACATGATACTGTGAGGCCGCTGCATGAGGCAGCCTGGACAAACATGATGGAGGAGGCTGCCAGTCGGCTCGAGAGAGACCATGTGCACAGTGTCTATGACAAGATTGCTCCATATTTCAACGACAGCCGCTATAAAGCCTGGCCAAAGGTACGACAGTTCCTGCTGGACCTGCAGCCGGGGAGCATCGTCGCTGACATTGGTGGGTGTCACCTCCAGCAGTGATGTAATCATGCCGACCCCATGACATTAGATCACTGTTTGTGCTATTTGAGTTATTGTTTTTGGGAAACACAATAATTAATTGTAAAATTGACTTCCCTTAAGGAGAAGGAGGCCACTTAGAAATTCTAGTTGGTCAGTAGTGTGGTAGCTGACTGTCTTGTCCTTGGCAGGTTGTGGCAATGGCAAGTATCTCCACATCAACAAGGAGGTATTCAAGCTGGGGTGCGACGTTTGTCGCCCCCTGGTGGACTTTGCCTGGAGCCAAGGGCACGAGGTCCAGATGTGCGACGGGCTGCATTTGCCTTACAGAGACGGCTGCTTCGACGCTGTGCTCTCTATTGCAGGTAATGGACAAACACACAGGGTGCTTCTCAAGTCTCTTATTTGTTGTTTCCTCACTCCTCGATCCTCGCTTGAACCGGAATTTGTTCCGCTTCGCCATCTTGCAGAACGTCCTAAAGCTCTTATTTGCGCTCCGAGGAGCGAGGAGGACCGAGGAGTGATCTCTGAGGAGCTATAAGCGAGGATACACCAGTACATCCAACATTAAACTCAAGTTTATCACTGCAAAGTCTTATATATGATTTGTTTTTTGATTCACTGTCTAGTTAAAATATGTGTTCATTGGTAGGTCTGAACAACAAAAGCCCCACACACAACTTTTTCTTTTATTTCTCCCATTAACTTTTATTATGGAGACAATTAAAGTCAGAGAGTCCGAGAGTCTTTTATCGTCATTTCTGTTCAGTCACATGTGAGGCTGGTCATTCCTGTGTTTAGTCCAAATAGACAACATTTAAAACATACTAAAAGCGTAGCCTAAGGAGTTGGACAAGTCACTAAACTGCACTAAAGTCTCTAATGCAGCAAGCAAAGGAAAATAAAGCCGATCTCACCTACTGCATCTGATGAAAGCAGCCGGCGGCTCAACGAGTAAAATCAGCTGATGAAACTATGAATGAAAGCAATGGTGCGCCAAAAAAAAAAAAAAAAAAAAAGGATTGAGGCGATGTAATGCAGTGATCGATCGGTGACAAGTGATGTGACTTGCAAATAAAATGTAGCCTATGTAGTAGTGAAAGCCTAAAACTGAGTGTCGACTTTGATATGAGTTTATGAGTTACATAATTTAGCCTAATAAAGCCCAAGACACCATGATCATATTCTGGGTTATTCAATAACGAATTCAGTCCGAATCAACAAATATAAATGCAGATCATATCAGCATTGTGCCAGTAGAAATGATCGTGTGCCTCTGAGCAGGACAGTATAATTATTCATGTGCAGGTGTCTGTTAAACAGATAACAGCTACAGAGACACTGATAACTCTTAGACTTTATTAGTACCAACAGTACACATGTATGTAGATACAAACTCCATCAAAAGTCTCTACAGCTGTTAGAGCCGACTGACAGCTGATCCAGCTGTGATCAGCTGCCGCAGTCATCAGAAACCGAAGCTAGGTGACGCTTCGGAGGAAAGGACGTCTCATGTCTTTAAAAACAGATTTCCTTGTTCCATCTCTCCAGGCTTGGTTTTCTTGCGTCTCTCCATGAATCCCCGGTGGGCGGGACTAAGACGCAAGGAAAAAACGCGAGTGAGCGAAACGTGGATGCGTGTTTTCCTCATAGACTGTATATAAAAAGGTTTTTCTCTGCCGTTGTTCCTGCAGCGGTCTGTGTGACGGTGGGAGCAGAGGGCTCTGTGAGCGGGCGGCTGGCCGGCCTCGCGAGCTCCTCATGCGGGTTGGCGCAAGCTTCACCCGTCGCCACTTCCTGAACTCCTAAAACTTTAAAGCAGATTTTTGTTCCGCCATCACTTCTTGTAAAACTGTAAATATTCGAAATCTACACAGCCGGCCTCTGTCTGGCGCGCGCAATGATGATGCAGTGAATAGTGACGATTCTCTCTGATCAATCAGTAGTTTGCCTTGTTTTCACGTCATATATTAAGAAGCAGATACAGGTACAACTTTTCCACAATGGAAAACCAAACAATTGCGAGCCGAGTCGAGCTGTTACTGTGCAGTGGAAAAGGGGTTTAAGAGACTTGAGAAGCACCCACAGTTAAATGAAGTTCTATCTCACACATACTCCGCCCTCCACTGGACTCCTTCCTTCCCACGCAGTCACAAATCGCTCCCTTCACATGCATGAAACTTCTGCAGCTGCCATTTGCCTCAAATTAAATGAACTCAATAATGATAAACATCAGTTTAACACAGGCTTTTGTTGCCTAGCCAACAGGGTGAAATAATTCATGTGTGTCCTTCAACAAAAGAGTGTAATTAGGACCACTGATGACAGCAGACACCCACACTAATAATTTACGTTGTGTGCCACAGTGTACATAATGTGTTTTGTGGATGCAAGTGCTGAATGTTACTCATCATAATTAAATAAATGCCTGCTCATCACCCCCCTTTTAATTCTGGCAAATGAATGTTTTTGTCACAGTCATCCATCATTTGTCCACCAAAGAGCGCCGTATCCGAGCAATAAAGGAAATGGCTCGCACCCTGCGAGTGGGCGGACACATCATGATCTACGTGTGGGCCATGGAGCAGAAACGTCGTAAATTTGAGAAACAGGACATCTTTGTTCCCTGGAACCCCAACCCTCATTCGCCCTCTGCCTTCAACAGGGAGCATGCCAAACCCAGACGGAGGGCCACAGCTCAGAGCGTGAGCGAAGCCATAGACAACACTGACAAGCACAGGAAGGTTAGAAGCACATCCTCCGTGGTAGACGAAGAAGATCTGACTTGCACCACGCCACAGCAGAGGACACAGAGACTGTGGTTCTTCTCCAGGTCTCTGGATTCTGTGTTCGACTTTGGAAGCTTAGCCATCTCCCGGTCATCCTCCAGAGACTTGGGCACTTTATCTTCACCCACAGGTGAAAATGAGGGAAACAAAGCCAGCCAGCGTGGGAGAGGACGTGGTCTCATCAAGCAGGTCTCGAGCTTCTTTTACTCGCCGTCTGTGATCGGATCAGAAGAGGACGTCTTTGATTCTGTCACGGACCTGCACAAGAGACAAAATGATCCTGGAGGCAACACCACCACCACCACCAACGGCACAGAAAACCAGAGTGTCTCAGTATCTTTAGCCCAGGAGTGTGGCTCTCTGGCTCTGCCAGATCTGGTCCCTTTCCAGAAGGAGTACCTGAAGCAGTCTGGAGATGAAAGTGAAGGAGGGCCGCAGGGAGGAGAGCAGAAGGAAAGCACAAGGAGTCCTCAGGGGAGCGAGGGGCAGGTGGAGGGCTCCTGCCTGAGGTACTATCACGTCTTCAGGGAGGGAGAACTGGCAGACCTGATAGAGAATCATGTTGAAGAGCTTCATGTCAAACACACTTACTTTGATCATGCCAACTGGTGTGTGGTGGCGGAGAAAGTTCAGTTATGGAAAATATGATTTTAACTTGATTTTATTTTGCTTCAACTCTGCCTCAAGTTTTAGCACTGAATCACACATTTGATTATTACATACTTATAACTGAAAAGTAAATATACAGATGTAGCCATTGTTGAAGGAAACACTAAACTTCTCCTCTGCTGCAATTCTCTACTTAATTCTAATTGTTTTATTCTCTTAGGTTTGTGGTAGTCCTGGAACCCATCATATCTAGCATTAACATTTATTTTAGATAGTATAACTGTAATGGTTTGGCAGCAGCAGTGGAGGATGCACTGAGGATGGTGGGGTTCAACAATGGCTATTTCTGTATACTGCACCGTGTTTTTAAAGTATGTATTCTTTTTCAATACAAGAAACCAACACGCAGTATTGAAATCCAGTTTGTGTTCTCTTTTAGTGTCAAGAATTAGTTTTTATTATCAAACCACAGCAAGCTCCAGTACTGCTAATGAATTCAAATCTTTTAATAGATCATTTCTGCAAGGGAAATGTTAAGAAATGCACTGTTTCTCTTTGGACCTTTTTAAGATTAGCCAAAGAAGAATTTCTGAGAAAACAGTAGACTCTTCCATCTGCTCTTAAATGTTTAATGAATTGATTACAGTGGAGAATTCTTGCTTCCTTGTCTGCTTGTTTTACAATTGCACATTCTTTAAATGAATAGGAAGCTTGCAGCAAGTATCTGTTATGGACTTCTTGGTAAACTGCTCAATGTAATCCATCATAACACTATCAGAACAAGAGCTCAAAGTTGTGCAGAATATTTTCCAAAACGTGTACATTTGCTTGCTGTGTTTTACTCTCTTAGGTGTTTCAAAGAACGTGTTGTCTGTGTGTGTGTGTGTGTGTGTGTATTTGATATTTGTAGTAGTGTATATGGTCTTGTGTTAAAGTAACAAACTGAGCTATACGGCTGGTATGTTTCAGCAAATCAACTGCCTCATATACTGTGAATAAACATTGCACTGTACCACAAATATGTTGCTGCTTGATGTCAGTGAATGACACAAATATAAGTGAAACTTGAAAATACTGGTTATCTGTACCCATTGTGCCCAGATGGCGCATATCCTTATCAGTGCAGTATGTGTGGACCAATTGTTTGTTCTGAAGTGACACTGGTACCTTAATGTAAATACTTTTGAGTTTGAATTTGTTTTTCCTTATTAAATATTTTTGTTCAGTGAGTGTCGTTGTGTTGCATTTGCTGTCATGAATGATCCATCCATCCATCCATCCATCGTCACCCGCTTATCCTGTGCACAGGGTTGCAGGGGGCTGGAGCCAATCCCAGCTGACATCAGGCGAAAGGCAGGGTACACCCTGGACAGGTCGCCAATCCATCGCAGGGCGTCATGAATGATACCTCTAATTATTTGGTAGATCGTCATTCAGTGACAGACACAAACTGTATAGTTCAATAACAGAATATTTAATAGTTACACAGACAGTTGCTTCTATATAAGTACAGATACAGTATTTTGATGAGATAAACAACAAGTTGAACACCTAGAGTCACAACATACCACATACTGATATTCGTTTATCACATTCAGCATGTTGGTTAGCTGCAAGTATCCTGTCTTTTTTTATTCCCAAATATTAATATTGAAGATATTTCGAGCTCTGAGTATCCTCTTGATTTAGGGTATAAAGGTTTTACATTCGACACTCCCTCCAAACCTGAATATGAAGAACATGAACACAATATACACATGTTCAGTGAAACTGTTTAAGGAAATGATTCTGTATTGAAAAGTGGTCATCCAGCAACATCTGACTATATGTCCTGTACCTGAGTTGCTGCTCTGTGGACGATGGAGTGTCTGAGGGCTAGTTTGTCGATGTCTCTCGAGTACCCTCCTCCAATAACAGCAGCGACAGGAACACCTCTGCTCACCACAGTCTTCATCACGTACAGATCTCTCTGATACAGCCCTAGGAGATCCTCACAAGTCATCCAAAAAAGTCTAGAAATTATTTTGTTGGAGGAGATGCTTGGGTCAAAGTTATCACTCACCTTCGTCAGTCAGACGGAGCTTCCCGAGTTCATCTTCCCAATGAGGGTCGACACCTGCGTCATACAGAACCAGATCTGGGCGAAAAGTCTCCAGCAGCCAGGGAAGGTGGGCCTCCACTACATAACATCATCACATATGTAGGTCAGTTAAAACAAACTCCTTATTCAAATGACTCAAACATACTACTAATTATTTAGTTTTGATTTTCATTTGTGGTGGTGATGGTGCAGTGGATAAGATGCCTGCTTTGGTGTGAGACACCCGGGTTCAATCCCCTACTGTGACACATCTACCAATGTGTCCCTGAGCAAGACACTTAACCCCTAGTTGCTCCAGAGGCATGCGACCTCTGACATAATTAACAATTGTAAGTCGCTTTGGATAAAAGCGTCAGCTAAATTAATAAATGTAATTTAGCTTGTATATTTCAAGCCTCATTTGGAACCAGCAAAAAAACTGAAATGTCTAAAATGAAATGACAAATCTGAAAACTTAAGGATTCAAATTGAGATTTAGTGACATGACTGCAACACTATTTGGATCTAATCTATAAACACATATCACATGTACCATTATGGCCTGTGTTAACGTGCCTGTGGAGAGGAACTCCTTGTCTTCCAGCCCATCCTCCACGCTGATATCTAGGTCGCTCTGTTGTTTACGGAGGGGGAAGTTTTTCTCACAGTGCACAGAGAATGTAAACACGCACGGCTCCTCTTTAAAAATGAAAGCAGTGCCGTCGCCCTTGTTGGATGCAAAAGATAGAAGGGTCGCTAAAGTTAAGCTTATCAACTACCAACAAACACAAATGTTGTACTTATGACACAGTGGTAAAACCCCACAACAACATAAAAGTGGAAGAGACAAGTTAATGCTACCTGATGCACATCTAGATCCACAATCAGAACCTTCCTTTTGAGCGAGGAGGTGCCCATCAGGTATTTGGCTGCAATTGCTAAGTCATTGAGAAGACAAAATCCTGAACCATAGCTTGGAAAAGCATGGTGGGTTCCTCCTGCTGTGCTGCAGGCCAGACCCCTCTGCAGAGCTACTTCAGCAGCTAGAACGGTCCCACCTGTCAACAAGAGAGAGGGTGAACACAGCATGTAGCGTGATCTTTCCAGGCCATTACACTGTTAAATCATCAAGAGATGTAGTTGTTGTTGTGGATGTTCTTCCCACCAGTTTCATATCGACAGCGTCTCACTATGCCTTCACTCCAGGGGAAACCTGTCCTCCTTTGTTCTTGCTCGTTTATTTTCCCATTTATGAAGTTGTTCAAGTATTCATCAGTGTGCACGCATCTGAGTAAATCTTTAGAGGCAATTTCAGGGACCCACACCTACTGTGAAGAAGGAAATTCACATGACTAGGAAAATATAACAAAAGAGCTTCCAGTAGTAGGCTACTACTACAAATATTAGATTTTCTTATAATATTTATTTAGTTTAATATTAGATTTTCACCATTGTCCATTCATTTCCAAGAGTTGACCATTCAGCAGTAAATAATAACAGTTTTCATCATCCTAACTGTATTTCTTTGATTGAAATATCAATGCGTTACTCACCTGTTTCTCTGTAATGACTTGATCTTTGATTAAAAAATGTAAAACCCGGGGGAACTTGCCCATAGGGAACCTGTGATTGGGTGGGAGTTGACACACATAGTTGCTGTGATGAACTATTGGAAGTCCGCAGGATTCATGTCTCACCTATGAGGCGAAAAGGTTCACTAAAAGGTCAGTCTTAATGTAATGCATTGTGTTTGTCATGTTCAGTAAAATACACTGTGATAAACCAAGATGTTCTTACTAGCTCAGCATGGAAACATCTGCAGGAGGCGAGAGCTGCACCGACCAGCCGCCCGACTTTTATGCGAGGTCTTTTAGAAAAGATTTGTTTCATGCACTTCATTTCTCTGACTGACGTTAAAGCTAAATGACTTAGCCTTAGAAATAATAATGTTGTGCAGGTTGATGTTATGACACCAGACTGGACGACAACAAACGTGCTGAAGGTGTCCCGTTTGTTGACGGATGTTTGACCGTGTGTATCCTTTTCTAATACTGCCATCTTCTGTCACGGAGTGAAAATAACACACAGTGTGACGGTTGCATGATTGACTGCCACCATCTACTGAATGAATCTGTGAATGCATCATATTTCTTCTTGTTGTAGGCTGCTGTATTAAATTAAATTACCACCAACAAGCTCTCAAAAACTTATTAGCGCACTGAAATTCTTTTTTTTATCTTAACTGTACAAGCAAACAGCATATTAATTAAATACTGCAATAATCAACCATAATACTTGTAATACTACAGTTATGATTTTCTTTATCCTGATTGGTGAAAAGTATCATCTGGCAACTTATAAACTAGAATTACTGCACCAAATGTAAATGTTAGTGCTGCAGCGTGTCATTTTTAAGTGGGCAAAACATAAAATTATCATCATATTCGAAGAATCATATACATTCTGTATAGTATGAATGCAGCGTCCACTTAATTTCATTTGTCCATCCTGTCATATTTGATGACAATTTGTCTGCATACATACTGATTTGGAGGCCCCATGCACATGAGGTGAATTTATGATTCATGAGGATCTTTTCATTCTGCTCAATGTCAGTTTTTTTTTCCTTCTCTTGATTCATCAAATGATCAAATCCCCTTTTACTTTTAGAGTTTTCAACTTTCCACACATGACAACTTGCGAATCCTTTCTATTCTAGTGCATTTACATAAGTTGTCAAGTTTGCATACACTACACAGTTTTAGCATGTCTGTTAGGACATTCATTAAGACTACTTTGTGCATGACAAAAGTCATTTTTCCAACAATTGTGTTTATAGACAGATTTCACTTATAATTCATCACACTTCCAGTGGGTCAGATGTTTACATACACTATGTTGAGTGTACCTTTAAACAGCTTGGTATGTTGTGGCTTTAGAAGCATCTGATGGGCTAATTGACATCATTTGAGACCTGTGGATGTATTTTAAGCTCTATCTTCAAACCCAGTGCCTCACTGCTTAACATTATGGGAAAATCAAAAGAAATCAGCAAAGACCTTAGAAAAACAAATGTGGAACTCCACAATTCTGGTTCATCCTTTTGCAATTTCCAAATGCCTGAAGTTGGCCTACCATGTTCATGTGTACAAACAATTGTATGGAAGTATAAACATCATGTGACCATGTAGCTGTCTTGGAGACGCATTCAGTGCGAAAAGTGCTATTCAATCCAAGCGAAGGGCTTTGTGAAGCAGCTGGAGGAAACCGGTACAAAAGTATTTATATCCACAGTAAAATGACTCCTGTATTGACATATTGAAAGGCCGCTCAGCAAAGAAGAAGACACTGCTTCAAAACCACCAAAATAAAGCCAGAATACAGTTTGCAGCTGCACATGGGGACTAATATCTTGCTTTTTGGAGAAGTTTGATGAAAAGTAACTGTTTGGCTATAATGACCATCATTATGTTTGGAGGAAATAGGGTGAGGCTTGCAAGCCCAAGAAGGAATGAAAATTATGTGAATATACTGAAGAAACATCTAAAAACATAAGCCAGGAAGTTAAGGCTTGCAAATGGGTTTTCCAAATGGACAATGACCTTAAGCATTCCATAGTTGTTGCAATATAGCTTAACAAAGTCAAGGTATTGGAGTGGCCATCACATAACCATGACCTCAGTCAAAATTATGATTTTGGGCAGAACTGAAAAAGCAAGTGCGTGCAATGAGGCCTGACTTCCTCACACCAGTTCTTTCAGGAGGCATGGGCCAAAAATTCAAAGAAGCTTGTGGAAGGCTGCCCAAAGTAACTTCAGTTAAACTATTTAAAGGCATTACTACCAAATACTAACTCAGTCTATGTAAACTTCTGACTAACTGGGAATTCGATGAAAGATATAAAAGCTGAAAATATCATTCTCTCTTCTATTATTCATTTCACATTGTTAAAGTAAAGTATCTTAACTGACCTAAGACAGGGAAGACATGTTTACTAGGACTAAATGTCAAAAATTATGAAAAAATCAATTTAAATATATTTGGTTAAGGTGTTTTTTCTGCATTCACCCGTTTGTCTCTATCCTGACCACCTTTATCCACTCCTCCTCTGTCCTCTTCTGCAGCATTTACAGTCAAAGTGTGCTGTCA